GAGGGCAGTGTCACTGGCTCTCATATGTGGGATCTGAACCAGGGCCCTCTGGCGTCCCAAGCTAGCTCTTAACTGCACCACTCGGCCGGCCCTGTCACATCTTTTAAATACATTGCCTAAGACTCCATTATGGTACTCAGATTTTGACCAAAAATATTATTTCAAAATTCTCTTAGACTACATTTTGATTGGCTTAAAATATCAATGAATTTGAATCTCTGTAATAATAGAAAAAATACAGGGCGAACTTTTTTTTTAATGTGCTAATGAAGTCAATGAAAACTATGGTACGTACAATAGAATACGACCATTAAAAATTGTAATGGAAGACTGGTAACATGAAAGGATGCTCACAATATAGTAAGTAGAAGAGTTTAACATTAGTATGCATAGTATGAATTAAATATAAATATAGAGAAAAAATGCTAGAGACCATAGCATCAAAATATTAATAATAGTTATTTGTAGCTGGTAGGATTATGGGTAACTTTTATTTTCTTTTTTCATATTTAAAAATTTACAATGAACTGTAGAACTAGTCATAAGAAAAAAATGCTACTTTAAAATCCTGTTACAATGAACTTAATTGAACATACATTCAGCAAAGAATTATTGGAGTTTCCTATGTCTAGATTTCAAGAAGCGATGTGCCAGCACTGTGTAATCTGCCAATTTACGTAGATCAGACCCATTTCTTCCTATCTCGAGACATGGTCTGGCAGGAATTTTTGCAAAAAATTGTAAACAAGCAATACAGCTTTGTATGAACCATTTTATCCTGATTATCTTGATTACTGTATAGAGGCTGCATGGCATATGGGAAATATTAGAGACTAAATTGGAAGCCCACTCTGCCACTTAACAGCAGTATGGCCTTAGACTCATTAATCTCTCTGAGCCTTGGAAATTATTAAGACCATTCTGTTAGAGAAATATAGCTGATGAAGATAAGCAGACTGAAAAAACATATTAATGTTTTGGGAAGTATTTAAATTATTGTTAAAATTCTTACTTCCTAACAGCTAAATTTCTTACAGGTATTGGCTTTTCCCCTTGCGTAATATCTGTGAATCTGTGCAGTGCTTAAGAACAGTAATTTTAAAGTGCTAGCAGTTAGGGTTTAATGACTTTACTTGAAGTTCTTGTTTTATGGTTCTTTGAGGTTATTTTACATTTTAAAATGACTGCATCCTTTTAAAAGAGATAGAATTAATCAAGTGAGGTATGCAGAATCCAGATTTTGGGGCTCCATTTACTGTATATCATTCTCAGTTTTAGAACTTCGATGTTAAAAAATGTAGGCAATAAGTCTGATAATGTATCTCTCCAGATATGCCATGTGCTCCTTGCATTTTGCTGAAGTGTCTGGTGTTTTGATCTCTGATTAAAGTTGCTATGTAGGCATAATATAGTCAGTCCATTTGAACCAGAAATGTAGCACTTAGTCTTGATTTTGCCTGTGACCTTTCAAAATGAAAAATAAATCAATACATTATATATATATAGTTGGTGATATTGGATATAGAAGATCAATTTAAACTTACGGTATAATAAATATATGTTAAAATAGAACATTGGGGCCGGCCCAGTGGCGTGTTGGTTAGGAGTTGGCTTGGGACGCCAGCTCTGAGTAGTAGGGCCCCAGTTTGGATCCCACATGAGGGCCAGTGATGCTGCGCCCTCTACAGCTAAGATGGTGAACGATAGCTCCACCTGGAGCTGAGCTGCCATGAGTCGCTGGTGATGGCGTAGGCTGCAGTAGGGCTGGCCAGCAGCAGGCATGAGCTTTCGTGAGCTGCCATGAGCTGCCCTGAGCAGCCATCCAATGGCCAGTGAGCGACTGCCTCACCCGGGAAGAGTTCAATGATAATACCAACATGGGCCAGTGAAGCGACTCCTCCACAACTAGACTGAAGAACAAAAGGACAGCAACTTCTCTGTTCCCCTTCCCCGATTCCCCAACGCTGTTCCCCTCCCTCAATTCCCCAATAAAAATCTTAAAAAAAAAAATAGAACATGTTTTCTCCATTGGTTCTTAACCATCAATACTATCTTAAAGTTGTGCAGATTGACCTAAGATTAACATAAAAGAAAAATAGAAAAGAAAAAGAATATTAACTAGAACTATCCATCAAGTCAGTGACTCACAAGCTTTCATTAAAATCTTATTTGGATTGAGACAAGCGCCATTTAGTGTTAGGAGCTCTTGTAACTGACATCTGGGTGACTGCCTTGTCCTAACGGATGAATGACTCCATCCTTATGAAGTTTCTCAGTCAGCGCCACAGAGCACAGGGTTAGGAGTTTGAAATGCTAGGCTGCTCCAGCCTTGTAAAACCTGACAACAGAGTCCTGCTTTTAACAATCCCAGCAAGTCAGCCTCTGAAACAGTCAGCGGACGCTGTCCCTTAGGAACCAGGCCATGGTGGACAACCAGAGGGCTTTCTGGGGCTTGCCTATCCCCACTATTGACTGTTGTTGTGGTTTTCCTATGCCAGGAACCAGTTCTCTTTTTCTTTCCTGGAAGTCTTGACTCCCCACTAGAGGTCACCCCAGCGTTAGAAACGGCTGTGTCACCAGGGAATCAAAGTTCTATGCAAGCTTTCTCTACAGTAGAGGACTGGTCTCCCTCTGCCCAGCCTGGGGCAGGTAGTAATTGTTATTTTGGGGGTCCTTAAGTCATACAATTAAGCAAGTAGCTGAAGTGGGTTACAAACCCAGGCTGTCTGGCTCCAGATACATTCTGGATGGAGTAGCCACACTCTTTTAATAGCCTGCCTCTGTAGAGTGTCCTCCACTCCTAAAAGTAGTCCCTCCCAGGAGAGACAGACTGTATCACATCCCTCTCCCTCCGGCATTCCCCATCTCTAAAAGCAGCCTTCAGCATGCTTAGCTTTCATAACCATTCCCACGGGAACAGACTCCCTCTGTGAATCTTGAAAGATATTAGTTCACTGTGCATACACATTCGTGCCTCTAACTCTGTGTGTGAAATGGTTCTTATTACTCACTGACTTTGGTAAAGACCAGGGCATCCACCTGAGCCCCTCCAAATGCTTCCATAGAGAACCTCTCACTCTCCTGGCTGCCTGAGGCACCCAGACAAATGACCTCAAAGAAAACCTTATATTCTTCCTTTTTTTAATATGGGGAAGATGGGCACCTTCGGACTCAACAGTCTTATTGTAAAAATCTTTAGGTCTCCATGCAACCCAGCAATTGCACTCCTAGTTATTTTTCCCTGAGAAATGAAGCTTACATTCACATAAAAATATGTACCTGAATGTTTTAGAAGCTTTAACATAACAACCAGAAACTGGAGACAACCAGATTTCCTTTAAAAGGTGAACAGGTAAACCAACTGGTGGTACCTCCATATCAGGGGTACTACTCAGCAATCAAAAGAGACTCGATACAGACAATGACCTGGACAAATCCCTGGAGAATTATGTTGAATGGGGATTATGAGAATTATGGTTCCATTTATGTAATAGTCTCAAAATGACCGTATTATAAAAATGGAAGAGTAATGGTTTCCAGAGGATAAGGAGGGGTGGGGACAGGAGGGAAATAGGTGTGGCTATCAAAGGGCAGTATGAGATATCCTTGCGGTAATGGAAGTGTTCTGTGTCTTGATTATACCAATGTTAATATCCTGATGGTGATACGGTACTATGGTTTTGCAAGATGTTACTGTGGGGGAAACTGGGTAAGAGATACACATAACCTCTGTATTATTTCTTTCTTTCAACCCTGATTTTCACTTTCAACCCAGCACTGATAGCCCTTATGATACAACCTGACTTACATACTGTAAATGGAGCTTCGTAAAGTACTATTATTTCCTTATGTAAGTTTATTTAAAGGGATTTGATAGCAGTGAACATGTATGAACAGTGAAAGGTTAACCTTAGTTTCAGCCGGAGCTTTAAATTTAGGATTTAGACTTTATATTCCACCACTTAACATGGTACTGGCACATTTCAGTCACACAGTACATTTTTGTTTAACAAATTAATATTGATTTTCTGTGGTTCGTACTGCCTGTCCATGATCCTCACTTCTGGGATTCCTCAAAGAAGAATTCAGTGGGACAGACAGGGTACTCTGGAAATGTCTGTCAGCGCAGAGGGACACCTGTCCGGGTGCCAGTGGGAGTGGGAAGGCAGAGCAGCACCACAGTTCTGGAGGAGTGGGGTCAGGCATGTGGAAAAGACTGCAGGTAAATTTGAGCCCGTTTTTCTTTCACACTGAAAAGAAAAGGGGGACAATCTCAGAAGGAGATTTAAGTATCTGCATTCAAGATAGATTAGAAATATTTTTTCTTAAATGGATCCTGTTTGTTTTAAATATAAGTATTGGTTGTTTCTACTTTTTCTCCCCATTGCAAGTAGCATTTTTAGTTTAAAAAATGCTTTTATGGGCTAATCAGACCTAGTCACCATTTCTGTGAAAAGTATGCATTCTGAATTTCAGTGACTTGGAGTAAATGTTCAGAGCCCAGAATTTTTATCTACTGATGGCACATAATTTGATTCTTCTTCTTTTATCTTTCCGACTAGGCTTTCTTGTTTGGGACAACAGAACCACTCTTTATTAAGCCCTTCTGTTCTTCCTTTTCACTACTTTATTACTTACTCATCACTTACTAGCCTTATAAGTTGATGTCTTACCCACAGATTTTGTGAAGAATATGTACGGTTCCTGCCATGTTTACTAGAACACAGCAAGTCCTTTTTCACACCACACCTTTGTTATAACTGAATTTTCTATTTATTGTAGATCATTGCCGGCACATTTCTGGATATCCTGTTGAACCTTCTTAAGAATTCAGAGAAACTGCCAGGTGACCACTGAAAGAAAGATCTAATCTTAAAGCTTACGTGAGTATTTTCTACTGTGGCCTTGGTTTAGGGCAGATTCAGTTCTGTGATCAAGATGAAAAATGTTATCTATCACTGAGCTTATTAAATTTGGGGGTAAGGTTAGCAGTTTCTCAGGGATGCAAAGAAACTCACACAATACACCACACTTATTCTTTCTTTAAAATAGACAAGAAAGGCTTTTTTTACTTAGCCAACATTCAAAAGAATCCCAGTCTGCAAACCACAAGAATTCTTACTGTGTTGAACCAAAACACCAAGTAGATTGTTTTTCATTATCTGTTCATACAGAAAGTAACCAAAACACATTACATCTTAAAAAGCACTTGATATGTGGTATTTTATTTTTTAATTAGTTTGTGATAGCTTTGTCATTTTTATGATCCAACCCAATGAATGCAATAGGGGAAAATAGGGAGATTATCCTCAAAAGAGAATTCTTGATTATTTTATTGAGTAATTTCATTGGTTAATTTCTTTAAAAAGCAGTATACAGTGCCATAACCTGAAGTTTGTTTATCTTGACCTCTGTAATTCTTAATCATAAGCAGATTTTCCCCTTATTTAGAACCATCCTTAACAGCTCCTCACACCCTTTATATCCAACAGGTCATTAAGTTGTGCTAATTCTATCTTACACGCCCCTCTCCAGTAATGCCTCCTTCCCTCTGCACTGCCTTAGATCAGGCTCTCATCATTTCTTGCCTGGATTTCTGCGGTGACCTACTGATTGATCACCCTATCTCCAACCTTAACCCCTGCCAATCTGGCCTCTCCACATTGCCAACAAAGTAATCTTTCTGAAAGACTAATATAATAAGACCATGCTATTTATTGGGTTGTCAGAAAAGTCATGACATATTTTTTTTATGTTTTTCTTTGCAAAAATGGGTCATGACTTTTCCGACAACCCAATAATATCCTTCAGTGACTCCTTCCTAAAATTCAGGTATAATAAACCTTACCATGGCTTTGTTAGGAAGATTAAATAAAATTCATCACAAACCCCTAGTGCAATGCCTGGCTCGGAACAGCCCTCAGCATGTGTGAATGTTTCCCCTTTGCCCAGAGAACCCATGGCAGCAGCAGAGCTGTAGTGTAAGAAAGCCCTGGTATAGGGGGACAGTGGCTCTGCTGGGAAACCAGACTGACAGGAGTAGGAGCCAAGAATCTCACCAAACTCCACAGCCATGCTTTCCTGAATCCCCTGGAGGTTAGGCACAAGAATAGATGGGTCTAGCATCCAATTCCATCCGTGTTCCAGAAAGACAGACTTTGGCTGATAAATTACAAGCCAAGCCCATCTGTGACTAAGCTTTTGTAACCTTAGAGTAGGGGAGCCTTCTCTGTAAACATCACTCTCTGCCTTTGTGTTTTCTTGTTTTGTTTTGTTTTGTTTTCTCTTCAGTTTCTTAGTAGAGTTTCTTCTGTCAGGCTTTAACTTTTTCTTAAATGAACTAAGGGTAAGAGAGAGAGAGAGACAGGCAGAGAGACAGAGACACACTGAGAGACCAGTGGGGCAGGGGAGTATCAGTGAAAGAGGTGTGGACAGACTGACTGGTGAAGCTACATTACTCAAGTGGATGAAATATTAGAGTGGACACAGTTGAGACTGCTGCCTTTGTCCTACCTCTGTATTCCCAGACAAACCTGGTTTTCCTCAACTCGCAGTCTTCAGATAATGGGAGTTTAGTGAAGCAGATATTTAGATAACTGCAGAACAGAGCAGAATAGAATCAATACTGTAAGAAAGTTGGACAATCTGAATTGATTTCATGATATTTCCAATTTTAAATTCAGTTGCTTTCTGTAGCCTTTTTCTTTCTATTAAAATTTGAAGTTTGTGCTATAAATATAGCTTTTCAGCTGGTCCTCACTGAGTGCTGATTGTTTTTTTTTTCATGCTGATTTAATTAACTTTTAGCAGATAGTTCTGTTTACCATATAGAATATTTCAAATATAATAAGCAAATATATGAAGAGAATTATTTTGTTTTAAATAAAAATATCAGTGGTAGCGTGTGTGTGTGTGTGTGTGTGTGTGTGTGTGTGTAGGTCTTTAAAATCTAAGTATTGTGTATTTATGTCTTTTGACAATGCAGTAAACATATGTAAGCAATTATATCTTAATTTTAAAAATATCTCTTATTCTTTTTACATGATGAAAAGCAAACTAAAGCTTTATGGCAATTTAGTTGCAATTTTGATCCAGGAGATATAAAGAAAATAAGACATTTTAATGGAAAATAAAATATGATAACTCTGTTGTTGTTTCTGTTTGGTGAGATAATTTATTAGAGGCAGGAGGCCAAGAAGGATAAGAAAAAGTGTTTTTCTAAATGACTTCATTATCTTGATTTAGTTTGGCTTCACTGAATCTCACTCACCTCATATTTCATTACAGGCATATCCCATCCACCACATCAGAACGATGTCCTACGTTTTTGTAAATGATTCTTCTCAGACTAATGTCCCCTTGCTACAAGCCTGTATTGATGGAGACTTTAACTATTCCAAGCGGCTTTTGGAAAGTGGCTTTGACCCAAATATTCGTGACAGCAGGGGCAGAACAGGTCTTCACCTTGCAGCAGCCCGAGGGAATGTAGACATCTGCCAGTTGTTGCATAAATTTGGTGCTGATCTTCTGGCCACAGATTATCAAGGGAACACAGCTCTTCATCTCTGTGGTCATGTGGATACTATTCAATTTTTGGTTTCCAATGGACTCAAAATTGATATTTGGTAAGTTCTCTGTGGTTTTTGAAGTCTAGTCATTTCTTACCATTAGTCTCTCAACTAGTGGTCTAAGCTAGGAGTCTGTTGACTTTGTTTCCTCGTTGATCAGTTGCAGTGACTCACTCAGAAAGACATTGAGAACAATGGAATCTTAAGGGAGTGAGGGAACAAGGGGCTGACGTCTAGATTTATGCTGAAGCAGTATAGTTCTATGAAAGTAGTGGCTAGATTCTGCTACTAATTAATTGTGTGTTGTAAGATAAGACAAGGGAACAAGAAGGAAAGAACTAACATTTGTTGAAAATCTATCATGGGCTGGGCACTGTGTTTACTTATGTTAGCTCATTCATTCCTCAGAATGATAGCTCGCGGTAGGTGTTATCTTCATTATACAGATGAAACAGTTTAAACAAGAAGGGTTAAATGACCTAACAAAAGTCACGCTGCTGGAATTTAAACCTAGTTCTGCCTGATTCCAAAGCTTGTTTGCCCTCTATCTTATTATATTCCAAGCTAGCTTCATAATCTCTCTGGGGCTCAGAGTCCTTTTTATACTGAAAACTTAGAGACATGGTCTTCTTTCTTTGTTTTAGAGATACTTTCTCTCTTGAGTGGGAAACATGTCGGGCCACCTTTGAAACTGAGCGTGACCTTTAAACTACAGTTATATGTTGCCCTAATTTATTGGTGCTATAATGTCTGTAAATCTGAATAAGACAATAAATGGTTCTGCTGCTATAAGGATAGTATGTGGTGGGAATTGAATATAGGATTCAGTGTTATTTGGGCTCTCTCCTGTTAGTGTGAAATAGCAATATGTACCAAAGCAGCTTATTTGATTGCTTTCTTTTTTTTTAATTCTTAGACTTTTTTAATACAAACACTATTCCCATAAAATATAAATATCAAATAAGAATAAATCTAGAACTAGACTTTCCAGTTAATCTCTGGGAAGGTGCCCTTTTTCTTTTATTCTCATTTATCTACTCTTTTGCTTATATATTCGTATTCCTTTTTCCCTAGAAGAAAAACAATATAGGTTAACTCAAAATTTAGGTTCTAGCTCTACTATTGGTTCTGCTCTGAGTTTTAATTTTGAGTTATTTGGGCCTATGCCTTCTTCACTATCTGCACAAAAAGGTACTGACAATATAAGACAACTGTGATGACCTTTATTTTTATGACCTTTTGTAGCAATCATCAAGGTGCTACACCCTTAGTTCTGGCAAAGCGCAGGGGAGTGAATAAAGATGTCATCCGATTGCTGGAATCTTTGGAAGAACAGGAGGTAAAAGGATTTAACAGAGGAACTCACTCAAAACTGGAGACCATGCAGACAGCTGAGAGTGAAAGGTACTTAAGATATAATTTTTTAATGGGCAAGTCACTTTAAGTCCCTAGATTTTTTATGACAACTTTGTGAGCTTTGTATTTATTTGCTTTCAAGTACAGGGCTTTGATATTTTCTTTGAACTTTATGTAAGCCCTTATGGCTCCAGATTACAATTGAGAAGCTATTAACAGAAAGTACAACGTGCCCACATGCACGTAATGTTCTGTCAGCCACTGTGCAAGGAAGCCTGCTGTATTGGCAGTACAAGGGAGGAAAAGTGGTTAAGAATTGAATATGAGGGAAGGAAACAGGAGTTTGAGAATTTTAATACCAGTCACTAAAAGAATAGAATTTCAAAAAAGCGGGAGAAAGATAAGTAAAGCTAAGTACTTGGACAATATTAGAAAAGACCAAAAAGGTAGTTTCAAGGGTAGGGAAGTGGACTGCTGAGGGAAAGTAAAACAGGAGGAGAGAAAGTAAGGCAAGATTTAACGTGTACGTATTTCAGTCATGTGAAAGCGAAAGTGACTTTCACATGAGTTGGAACAAATGAAATTTGGGTTCCTGTAAGTAATTGAAGCCAAGATGCAGTGACTGACAGGGTCTTAAATATCTCATCATTTCTCGTCTAGATGCAGTTCAGAACAGTGTCAGGGAGCTCTGAAAGGTGACAAACCATTTTTTCTTTTGGCCTCACTGGCTCAACAGGTTAAGTCAGTAGACCAGACTTTGTTGTACTAGCATGTAGTTTGATTGACTGGCATGGTGTTTCAGCCTTCCAAATTATCCCGGGTAAGAAGGACGATGAGCTTACTACAGTTTCCTCCTACAATTTCCAGTGGAATATATTTCAATGGCCCTCAGCAGCTGTGGACCCACTAGCTGATTGACAAGAACCTGGATTTAGGATCATAAAGACCACTTAGACCAGTGGTATCATTGTTTCTTTGAGTTCTAAAAGAAATCCCCTCTAGTTTTCATAGTTCACCGTTCATTTGATTCTTTTGTATCCATGATTGCTTTCCTCGCTTTTCATTTGCTGGCTGGTGTACTCCTGGGGGACCACTGATTCTACTCTTAAGCTTAAGACTGTTTCATTTAGAATACTTTCAAATACTTTTTACTTCCAACGAAATTCAAGAATTTTACTTCTAGAACAGTGCATATTTCTCATGAGTTATCCCTGAAAGCTGACAAGTAGATAAAATAAGCAGGAAGTCGAAGATGCATTTGCAAGCCCTTTTTTTTTCTCTCACCTGTATACTTTGGATTGAATGTCAGAATGCCATAAGCAATTTAATAACATCAAGTTATCCATTATTTGTTATAGATCATGTTCTTTCAAAATAACTTGAAATTTATTTTCATCTTTCTATAAAGTAGTAGTAAATTACTTTAAGCTTTTTTACCATGAGAAATGTCCAAGAATGTATTTTTTGTTTAGCTTAGTATGTTTTGGAAACCTTGCATGGTATATTTTGTTAATAGTTAGTGCTTTGGCACCTCTTTATCAGAAATTAATTTTTAATTCTATTTTGCCTCAATTATTATTACTTTAGAAGTAATTAGTCATTTGAGCAGCTCAGTATAAAATTTTTACTCTTCTTTCCATTCCTGCCATTTCACTTCAGCGTGAGAATTTGTATTGTTTACAGCATTGTGTAAAGCCAGTTCTTCAAAAATTGAATTAATACTTGTACTACCTGTTTGTTATATCTTGGTTGTCCTGTCTTACTCCTGCCCGCTCAGCGTCATGATAGAAATGCAGTGGTTGAAGCTTAAATTTAAAAGCATAAAGGCAAATAGTTAGTCAAAGTGAAGTGCAAATCAAAACCACAGTGAAATGCCACTTCATACCCACTATGATGACTGTACTCAAAAAGATGGGTAATAACAAGTGTTGTCAAGGATGTAGAGAAATTAGAACCCTCATACATTGGTGGTAGAAATGTAAAATAGTGTAACTGCTTTGGCAAACAGTCTGGCAGTGCATCAAAAAGTTATACAGTATTACCATATGACCCAACAATTTCACTTCCAGGTATATACTGAAGAAAATTGAAAACATGTTCACACAAAAACATGTACACAAAATGTTCATAGCAGCATTATTCATAATAGCCAAAAGGTGGAAACCACCCAAAAGTCCATCAACTGATAAAAGAATAACAAAATGTCATCTGTCCATCCAGTGGACTATTATTACACCACAAAAAAGGAATGAAATACTGATACATGCTACAACATGGATAAACTTTGAAAGCATGCTACATGGGAGAAGTCGGTCACAAAAGGCCATATGTTATATATGATTCCATTTATATAAAATGTCTAGAATTGGCAAATAGAAAGTAAGTTAGTGCTTGCCAGGAGCTGGGGGAAGGGACAATGGGAAGTGACTGCTAAGGGGCACAGTTTCGTATAGACGTGATAAAAATATTGTGGAATTAGATGGAGATAGTTGTACAACTTTGTGAATATACTAAAAACCACTGAATTGTGCACATTGAAAAGGCAAATTTTATGGTATCTGAATTATAGCTCAATACAAAAATGTGAGAAAAACGCGTAAAGGGATTGGCTAGCACATGGTATTACAGCATAGCGGTGTAACAATTAGCCTTTTCTAGTGCAGAAGATAAAGCAAGAGCTTGAATGTATTTACTACAATATTTTTCATTTCCCTTGGGATTCCCTGAGACATAGCATAATTTCTTAAGGGCCTATAAATCAAGTTGGTGAAAAATATTTCCCCACTCCCCCATATAGCCTAGGTTTAATTTAATTCCTTTTACTTTGTAGGTACAGGATGACAAAGACAGGGTAGATGACATATGTCCAAAAAAATTACACATGAACAAACACATCATGATGCTAGAATCAGATATTTCCTGGACAGTAGAAAACATTTCATTAAATAAAGTCACTACAGAAAGTTCTGATTGGCAGAGCTTCTGTGATTGGCAGAGGATCTCTGATTAACAGTGTCAAGAAGTAAAATAAAGTTGTAGGTTTAAAAAAAAACTGGCAATTTTGCATAGTGAACCAGACTCTAAGACAGTGTTTTATGCTGTTTTCATTGTTCTGTACCCAGATGGGTGGAAGACTATGAAGAAAAGGGGTTTAGGGAGGGTAGTGATGACCTTTTATAAGCAATAGATAGTTGATACATCTGAGTATGGTCATTGCGACTTTAATCTAAATGATACTGTTATTGGGCCTACATGTTGTGACATAATTGTGGGTGCTAATCCCTTAGAGCTTTGAATTCATCACGGTGCAGGCTTCCAGATACTGAAGTCAGATATACTGTTTTCTATTTATAGCAGTCATGTTTCACGTTGATATAGCTCTGAAAACCAGAAACCTCATTTCAACTAGATTCAGCCTTTATACAGAAGAGAAATAAACTTACTATGTGTTATTGTACAAGATAGAGCTAAAACCAGTGGTGGGAAACTATTAAGAATTTTTAATGAGTAGACTTGTTCCAATGTCCATAAGACTCACAGTAAACATCCATTATTAGAGAATTACAATCAAAAGAAGAAATTTCGTCATTGGTCTGATTATTAAACTAAACGAATAATTCCCTATTAACTTTTAAGATTCACATATTATCTTTGCTTATTTTCACTAACATGAATTCTCAAATTATGAATCTTCATTCTGAATTCTTCTAAATTTAAACTAACCAAATGTGTTTCGGTTTAGCATCTGATGGAAACAACTCATTTGACCTACTTCAAGACTTCTGCTCAGGACCTTTTTATTCAAAAGGATTTCTTAACTTTAACTCTGCTAAATACAAAACCAAGAAAGATAATCACTATGGTTTAGCAATTTACAGTTTAAAGTAGATTGTCCAGATACATACAGATATACATAAATCAGTACGCGTGAGAGTATATGTATGTATGTCAGTTTTCTTCTTGTTAGTGTTGTTACAGGGTTCGTCTTTTCTAAGTAATACATTTCCCATTGTTTTATGTTTTTGAAATGGGTGCAATGCGTTGTTTCATGCCCATTTATTTTATCTTTGCTTCTTTCACAGTGCCATGGAGAGCCATTCGCTTCTCAATCCCAACCTACAGCAAGGTGAAGGAGTCCTGTCCAGCTTCCGAACCACATGGCAAGAATTTGTAGAGGATCTGGGCTTCTGGAGGGTTTTGCTCTTGATCTTTGTCATTGCTTTGCTATCTCTTGGCATTGCCTACTATGTGAGTGGGGTGCTGCCCTTTGTGGAAAACCAGCCTGAACTGGTGCATTAAAGGAGCTCATGGGAGATGAGGCAGATAGACGCCTGTTTCCTGGCTTCTAAAGTTTTTCAGTTTCTCAAAATGGTTCTCAGTACAGGCAGTTTTTTCTTTCTGCATTTTTACATATTCTAATCCTTTTAGAACAATGTGTAGTTAAGGATACTGCATCCTAAAGCTACCTCTGACTCAACTCGACTTCTTAGGAAAGCCTACACATAGCCTTGTTTGATAAAAATATGGAAATGACTAAAGAATGAAAGATAAAGGAAGAAACTAGGAAGTCCTTGCTATAGAAATGGTACTGTAATATAGGACCAACTAAAGTGAAGTTGAAAATTTTAATTAGTTTTGGTGGGTGGTTTTGTTTTGTTTTTTGTTTTTGCCAGAGCCCGTTTTCCCTTTTTATTTATGTTTTCTGGGATTAGGGGAGAGAATGAAGCATTCAGCTGAAAACTTGAAGTGCTATTTTCAAAGCCTACATAGTAAATCAGTATTGTTGGAATCTGGTTTATTTTAATACTTTCAAGTCTAGTCACAAACCAAGTAGAACTTTTGAAAGTAAGTTATATTTTCTTCAAAAATGTTTGATTTGATCTTATATTTATTTGTTTTTAGGGTCATTTTGAATTTTTTTGTTTGTTTGTAAACTGCTTAGCTTGTTTTTAATATCTAGGAAGAATGAACTGGAGGGGTTCATTTCACTTTTCAATTTCCCCTAATGTTTATTTCAAAGGTATTCTATTCATCAGAAATATAGTCAGAAAACTCTTTCTATTCAGTAGTTAGCAGGGAAAAATAATTCTGATAGTTAACTGTGACTATAATTTTGTAGTGCTATTATTATAGTGAAAAATTCAGTTCTGTAAGCTTGCCATGTTGTCACAGCTGTATCATAGTTCATAATTATGTTATGTGCAATCCTGTTTAGAGGCCCTGTAGAATTGTCATAACAATCCCATCCATGTCAGTAATTCTCTGATAGCAAGAATGGATGGAGTATTTCTGAGTTAACAATGCTGAACACATTTGTACTGGGTTTCATAAACACTTTATGAATGGTAATATTATGTAAATTTAAATCTGGCCCCCAAACTGTATTGCAGCTTTCGGCAGTATGTTTGAAGGCCTCTTGTTAATGATTCTGTTATGTATAAATCATATTCTTGGGTTATTAAAAAAGAATATGAAGACTTGATAATTATTCATTGGGTATGGTTAGAAAACTGTAGTGAAAAACTAATGGTTTTACTTTTTAGAACAAAGGCATCTATGCTACTGCTAATCGAATTGCTAAAATTAGAAATTACAGTTTAGAATAGAATTGGTATTACGGATTCATTTTGCTTGTTGTTATTTTCTCTTTTGTATTTATATATCTAGGATTGAGGTGTTTTCTTTCATGTGGCTTTATCCTCACTTAAAGAGCTGTTTTAAAATTTCCTGATTTACCTGGCTGCATCAGTGTCAGCTCACAGAGTCTTGCTTTCAGGTTAGATTCAAAAACAATAAATCATACTTGGTATAAATACATCAAAAATAGCAGACTTTAGAGTGGAGAGGAGAACACTAGAAATCAAACTATATTCACAATGAAAGTTGTGGAATTTACATTTGTAAATCTAAACAGATATGCAAAATTGGTTAAACATACATGTAAATATGTTGAGCTTTTTTAAATAGAGGTTTCCTTTTAAGTGGTGATTTCTTTGTATTCTCTTCTCTGCATTCAGAATTCATTAACACTACCAATAAATGTATTTATAATCTCTTAATCAAAATCCATTTCGTAGTGTATCATTGTTTTTCTTTAAATGGGTTGCAATTGGCTGTTTAAAAAAGCAGAGTTTTTTTTTTTTTTCAAACCTGGTATAATGAGTATATCATGTTTATATATGTTTGACTTATAAATGCTCTGAAACTAATTTGGGTGAATTGCTTGCAGATTTAAAGTGATAATAACTACCATGACTAAGCACCTCCCAGTTATACAGGTCACTTTATTTTTATTTTATTTTTTAAAGTAATTTTTTCAGTTACAGTTGACATATATTAGTTTCAGTTGTACAACATAGTGATTAGACAGTTATGTAACTTACAAAGTGATTACCCCAATAAATCTACCCCATCTGACACCATATATAGTTATTACAATATTATTGAACACATATCTTATGCTATACTTTATATGTGACTATTTTGTAACTACCAATTTGTACTTCTTAATCCCTTCCCCTTTTTCACCCATCCCCCTATCCCCCTCCCATCTGGCAACCATCAAAACGTTTTCTGTATCTATGAGTTTGTTTCTGTTTTGTTTGTTTATTTCGTTCTTTAGATTCCACGTGTAAGTGAGATCATATGGTATTTGTCTTTCTCTGACTTACTCCACTCAGCACAGTACCCTCTAGATACATCTGTGTTGTTGCAGATATTCTGGCAAGATTTCATCCTTTTTATGGCTGAATATATTCCACTGTATGTATATGTACTACCCCTTCTTTATCCATTTATCCACTGATGGACACCCAGGTAGCCTTTATAGCTTGGCTATTATAAATAATGCAGCAATGAACATATGGACGCACATGTCCCTTTGAAGTAGTGTTTTGGGTTTCTTCAGATAAATATCCAGAAGTGGGATTACTGGGTCCTTCTTTGTCTCTTGGTGTAGCTTTTGTTTTAAGGTCTATTTTGTCTAGTATAAGTATTGCTATACCAGCTTTTTTGTTGTTGTTTTGCTTTGTTTTGTTTTTTTCATGAAGTACCTTTTTGCACCCCTTTACTTTCAGTCTGTGTGTCTTTAGATCTAAAGTGAGCCTCTTGTAGACAGCATGTGTAAGGGTCTTGTTTTCTTATCCATTCAGCCACTCGATGTCTTGTGATTGGAGCATTTAATTCATTTACATTGAAAGTAATTGTTGAAGGATATGTAGTTATTGTCTTTTTATTCATATTTTTTATCTTTTTTTTTTTTTCGTCTTAAAGAAGTCCTTCTTAAGATTGCTTGTAATACTGGTTTGAAATTGATGAACTCCTTTAACTTTTTCTTGTCTGAGAAGCTCTTTATCTGTCCTTTGAGTCTAAATTATAGCTTTGCTTGGTAGAGTAACCTTGGTTGTATAGGTCCTTGCTTTTCATCACTTTGAATATTTTGTTCCAGTCCCTTATGCCTGCAAAGTTTCTGCTGAGAAATCAGCTGACAGTCTTATGGGAGCTTCCTTGTAGGTTACTGCTTTTCTCTTGCTGCTTTTAAGATTCTCTCTTTGTCTTTAACCTTTAGTATTTTAATTATGATGTGTCTTGGTGTGGGCCTGTTTGGGTTTATCTTATTTGGGGACTCTCTGCACTTCCTGGGCATATTTGGGAAGTTTTCCATCATTATTTCTTCAAATAGGTTTTCAGTTTGTCCCTCTTCTCCTCTGGTACCCCTATGATGCGTATGTTGGTTCACTTGATGTTGTCCCAGAGGCCCCTTAAGCTATACTCATATTTTTGGATTATTTTTTCTGTTTTCATTGGGTGTTTTCTTCTCCTTAACCTCTAAATTGCTGATTCAGTATTCTGCTTCATCTAATCTACTGTTGATTCCCTCTAATGTAGTCTTCATTTCAGTTATTGTATTCTTTATTTCTGACTGGTTCTTTTTTATGTTTTCTATCTCCATTTTTTTTTTTCCTATTTCTTTGTTGAAGTTCTCCCTGGAATCATTGAGCACCGTGATAATTAGTGTTTTGAACTCTGTGTCTGGTAGATTGCTTGTCTCCATTTTGTTCTTTTTCTGGAGCTTTGTGCTGTTCTTTTATTTGGGATGTGTTTCTTTGTCTCCCCATTTTGTCTGCCTTCCTGTGTTTGTTTCTATGTATTAAGTTGAATTGTCATGTTTCCCTGTTGTAGTAGAGTGACCTTATGTAGTAGTTGTCCTGTGGGGCTCAGTGGCGAAGCCTTCCTGATAACCTGAGCTGGGTGCTGCCCGTGTGTCCCATGTGTGAGTTGTGCATGCCCTCCTGTTTTAGTTGATCTTTAGTTGCTGTTGATATATCAGTGGAAGGGATTGATCCCCAGGCTGATTGGTTGTGAGCACTGGCTATGACTACAGGGGCTGACCCCATGGAGCAGGATTAGCTTTAGCAGGGCTCTAGTGCCTGTCCAGCCTGCCCTTAGGGTGTGTTGTCTGTGGAGGTGGCCTAGTGGTGCTCTGGAGTGGTCTGAAACTGGCCCCTGGGCATGCCAGCCCTGGGGCCTCCTGGGAGGGGCTTCACCACAGGCCAACTTCAGTCTCCACCTGTGCCCTGCCCAGGGCCATTTGGCATGAGCCACAGAGTGATCTACAGATGTCTTCCACCTATACTGAGGTGCCTGAGAGAGGCCAAGCTGCGAACCAAGGCTGGCTGCCACTAGTGGGGATGCTTAGCAAGAGTTTTGGGGTACACAGAGGCCACATGCTGCTTGTTTGGGTTTGTGAACCTTTGAGAGATTTTAGGAAAGTCCGCACCATGAGCCAAGACAGGCCATTTGTATGGAAAAGCCACTGGAAGTGGCTGGGTGGGCCCATAGGTTGGGTGGGGCCAGGTCTCAGGGAATCACCAGGGTGGATCAAATGACTGTATCAGCTAGATGGTTGGAGACTCAGATATGGCACTTGCCTGCATCTGCATGCCAGGAAGGGGAGAGCTCAACAAAGAAACAGTGGCTTCCTCCAGCTCCCCATATGTCCCTGGTGTCCCTTGAGCTGCTGCCCCAGCACTGGAATTTAGAACAAGTAAGTTGGTCAGTGAGTAAGATCATTTGCGAGCCCTTTAAGAGGAATGTCTGGTATCCAGCCGCCTTCGTCTCACTCAGCCACGTTGTCTGCTGGATTTCACAGCCAGAAACTGTGGAGCCTTCTTTTCACGGCACAAGAACCCTGGGCTGGGGAGCCTGGTGTGGGGCTGGAACCCCTCCTTGGGAAGACCTTCACAGCCAAAATATCCCTCCCGATTTTTAACTGCCACATGCGGTTATGGGGCCTAGCCTATTTCGTGTCTCTCCCCACCCTACCACTCTCAAGGTGGCTCCTTCTGTGTGCCCTTAGCGTAGGACTTCTGTTCAGCTAGACTTCAGGCGATTCTCAAAGATAGTTGTTCTGTAGTTGTAATTTTGATGTGGTTGTGAGAGGATGCAAGCACAGCATTTAATCTGCCATCTTGACCAGAAAATATACATGTCACTTTACATGCCTCATTTAATTTCATCCTTATGCTCCCCCTACCCCCACTACATTTCTCCATTTTGTAAGATGAGGGAACTGGGCTGGCCGAGTGGCTCAGTCGGTTAAGAGCTTGCTCAAGAATGCGAGCTCTGAACAACAGGGTTGCCGGTTCGATTCCCATGTGGGCCAGTGAGCTGCACCTGAACTAAGTTGCTGCTGAGCTGCCAACAGGTGGCAGGATGGCTCAGCTGGCGAGAGCACATGCTCCTAACAACAAGGTTGCTTTAGTTGCTACACCTGCTCACAACTAAAGACAATTCAGCCATTGAGCTGAGCTGTTGCCCTGGTGGCTCAGGGGATAGACCATGCGCTCTTAACAACAAGGATGCCGGGTTCGAATCCTGCATGGAATAGTGGCTACGCCCACCCGCAACTAAGATTATAACACAGCACCTTGAGCTTAGAGGCCACGAGCTGCCGACGGGCAGCTAGATGGCTACTGGTGCCCTCCACAGCTAAGACTGAAGAGCAACAACTTGGCTGGTCCCCTTCCCCAATTCCTCAACACTGTTCCCCTCCCCCAATTCCCCAATTAAAAATAAAATAGAATAAAACATCAGAGCCAAGAAAACCCCCCTAAAAAACAAAAAACGTTAACTGGGGGAGGAAAAGAGGCCAGCATCTGGTTAAACCATGCATTAAAATCGTTCAGGCTGAAACAATTCCAGCTGTGTTAGATGAAGTAGAACTTTGGGATCAAGCCCATTCCTTTGTGCTCTGAAGGAGATTCAAAACTATTTTCTAGGGAGAATCTTGGCCCTGCCGTGGACATCTCATTGGCTTCCCTCAAATCACAGATAGTGGGGATTCTGTTCAGTCACCCATACTTGGACTTTGGACATCACAGACAGCTGCACAGCCCAAGGGATAGGGACCCACATTCACCTGGCAGCAGAAGTTTGGCCACATCCCAGTTAGATGTCAGAGAATACAATCTGGAGTTCCTTGTTGCCTAATATCAGAAGCTTAGCTGATAATATTTAGAGTATTGCTTGGAAGGTCTTTTAGATCAACACTGTCCAAACTTTCTGCAATGATGGAAATTTTCTAAATTTGCGCTGCCTAGTGTGGTAGCTAGCTACTTGTCACTTGCAGCAATTTAAATTAATTAAATTATAAATTCAACTCTTCATTAGCACAATCTGAGCCTAAAACCCAACTCCAATTTACATGTTAAAGCAAAACTAGCCACATTTCTAGTGTTCATTAGCCACAAAAGGTTATTGCATTGGTTAGCACAGATATATAACATTTTTATTTTTGCAGAAAGTTCTCTTGGACAGCAGTGTTTGAAGATCTATCTTGGGCTCAGGTCAGGTCAGTGTACAGCTAGATATTGAACTGGATTATAGCAGTGCCCACCCCAATTGCTTTTGGCAAGCTCTTTGTTATTAAATGACAATGCTATACAGTGCTTATTAAGCCACTTAATCTTAACAAATTGTGATTGTTATCCACACACCTCACAGTCAGGGAAACTAAGGTGCCTGAGGTGGTTGGAATGACATGCCCAAGGTCTCACAGCTAGTAAGTG